TTAGCACTTGAGCTATTGCTTCTATTGCCATCAACAATATCTTTATTGTTTCATAATAATGTTTCTCTAATTCTTCGTTGTCCATTTAGCACTGCGTCTACTTCTTCCATCTCCATTAATGATAAAAAAAAATCTGAATTGCACATATGATATTATAAACAACTAATATAAAGAAGAAAAAGGCAGAACAAAAAAAAAAGGGATGCTTGTAGATCGATAAAGAAGGCTATAGCATATATATATATATATGATGTAAAAAACAAATAAAAAATAACAGCAACGAAAATAAAAAATAAAACAAGAAGAAGGAAAAGTAGGAAAAATAATTGGGATGCTATTGTACATCGCTATATGATGTATAGCAACATCAACTATTCAAAGAGAAGAGATTGAAACTTTTTATTTGTAACATCAACAAAAACTATTGGGAAAAAGGAGAAACAAACGTTCAAAGACTATCGATATTGAAGGTATATGATATATGAGATGTACAATAACAGCAACTATTGGGAAGATGAGAGACCATACATATATGAAAGCGTAGTAGAAAAAGAGGAGATTTTTTTACTCCCACTTGACAAGCACACACATTCAAAGACTAGAAAGCGTGGAGCACTTTCAAAGTTTCTAGGGTTGACATAAGATTTGTTAGGGCCTTTTGTATTTATACTTACCACTTTAAATTCTAACGAAATCGGGCAACTCATTAATTCCTTTAAAATAAATGACTTTTTGAATACACCTAAACTTGGTTTGACTTCTAAAAAGTCATAATTGAATACACCTAGATTTCGATGTATTTTTTTAAAGTCAATTGAAAATTGAATTGAACACACCCAAACTTTTACAAACTCTTTTAAAATCTTAATTGAATATATCTAGATTTTTAAACTCTTTTAAACTCTTATTGAATACACGTTTCCTACTGTTTTAGACTATAATTTTGTCTTTTTGGGATGGTCCGATTGTAGGGGTGTGTAAGATTCAATTCAATTAAATCCAATTTTAATTGATTTTGATGATTTGGTGGATTGTATTGGATCCTTAATTTCCAAAACCGACATGATTGGATTGGATGGCGGATTTGCTTGTGAGGATTCAATCAAATCCAATCCAAGCCAATTTAGTTAGTTTCATGCTTTTTTGCTCATTAGGTAATTTTCATTAAGAAAGTTATAAACATTTAAAGTAATTTGATGGAGTTATGTTTAATATATTATAAAATAAAAATAATTTTCTCCCAACATTTCATTTATATTTTACAATTAGGTCTATTAAAATGTATGATTATATTAAACTTGATGATAAATGTTTCATATATTTCATTATTATCATTTTCCATTATGAAAACCAATCATCCAATCTAATCCACCCAATATTAATTGGATTGAATTAGATTGGATTTAAATCTCTAATGTGATCGGATTGGATTGGAAAAATCATAATCCAATATATATTGGAATCAAATGAGGATTGGTGAAATTGGATGTACACCCCTACCTGATTGCATGAAAAACAGCCATGGTTAAGTAAAACCTAGCAGCTAATTTGAAGAGAAAACATTATAGTATAATTGAAGACCTAAAAAAAAATTAAATTACATATTTGAAGGGTTAAAATAATGATAATTAAGCTCTGGCTAAATTCATAAATAATGACATGATGAAAGGAACACGAAACAGAGAGCATCAAAAGTCAGAATCCAGAAGCATGTGTGGTCAGTTGGTGTTTACTTTGCATTCTCATTGTTAAAGATATTTCAAGAGGCCACAAGTCTTACTTGATTTCATCAGCATTTTCTGAAGGACAAATATAAAGTTGGTGCATGTAGAGATTATAGGGTTGTGTTGCAATTCAACAACCTTTTTGTTTGTTTATAGTTTAATCTTTCTTTCTTAGTCATCTGAATTCTGAACCATGTTTTTTAAAATTATTTTGAGTGGTTAAATTAGTTAGTTGAGATCGTGTCATTATGCATTGATAATGTTTTTTTTTAATTTTTTTATTTTATAGTCGTATAAGCGATATTCTAAACTAGAAGAAATAGGGATTTCTCACACACATACGAAGTCCTTAATTAAAGAAACGTACAAACAACTCCCTCGTTTACTCGAGATAAACTTTAGATACATACATCGGGTCATCGAAACTTATGTTATGTTGAAGAATAACTGGTACACGAATTGAACGAAATTCTCTTTTACAAAAGTGTTTATTTTTTCTTAGATAGAAACTTTTCTCTTCATCTTAGCCATATGAAATGAGTATCCTTATACTTGTAGATTAATATTATTCAATTCTTGTGGTTGGCACCGAACTTATGCTGAGTGCTTAAATTGACCATCTACTGAAAAAGTTTAAAAACCTTTCATGTGAAGCTTAAATTTTGAATTGAGATCCAGCTTATAATGGTGGAGCCAATTTGTTACGTGTAACTACTTTTGGAGCCCACTTATTTTAATCTATGGTATAACTTGATCAATCATGATAGTCATCATCTCTAGCTAACATGAGGCAATGATTCCTTTCAACTTGCAATCAACAACCAAAATCAAATCCCAAGTCCAAAGGTTTTCTTTGTTTTTGTTTTAATACAAGTGATAGTTTCTCATACACACACAGCAACGATGTTATGAGAGTTCAAACATGAGGTCACTGGTCTGCTAGACCTGGTTGGCTTTATCTAAACCTTCAATATGAATTTTAAAATACAAAATTCATTTATTCATATATCCGAGGTCCTAAGTTCGATTTTCCCTCTTTCAACATCACTTGTACTATTACACCTAATATATGAACCCAAATTATAAAAAAACCTTATATGAAATGAATTTTAGAAACACACTCAAAACCCATTTACAACATAACAAAAAGACTTTTAACTTTTAAATTACAAAACTGCCATTAATTTCTTAAAAAACTCCAACCCCAAAACCTCATAAAAAAACCTAAAACACTCAATAGGGCATCAAAGTAATTTAATAATCAAAATTAAATTCAATAGGGTCAACTGTCATTTTTTGGGTTTGTTTATAGAAATTAAATAGTGTAGAGTTTTATCTATATTTTTAGTGCTAAGAATGGGTATATAACTAAATATCTCTATAAAAAAAAAGCACCAAACCGATTTCGGTTCACATGAAAAAAACCTACCTGTATCTCTAGGGATTCTTTCTGGCTTCAAAGGTCTTCGATCCCTACCCAACCCATGAAGCAAAAAATGCACATGCAATCGAGTGTGCATGTGACTCGTGATGCACATGGAGTCAAAAAGCTCCAACACCAATGAATTAAAACTCCTTCACTTGCTCTATAAGAAACAGTCAACAATATTGGGTTGGATTTAAAAAAAAAAAGAAAAAAAGAAAAAAAAAAAAAAAAAGGGGGTGGATTAATTTAGACGTTGACTAATCTACACATTGCTCACTAACCAAGCATGACATCATAAGCACATCAATTATCACCAGCAAAGAAATATTGAGCATGCCACCACCTAAAGTGATGTTCTTATAAGCACATGTTGGGTTCATGATTGTGGCAAAATCAAAATTGAGTGCTTTACTTTGCCTAAATAGATACTTGGGAATTGTTGTAATTAGTTTGAAGAATCAAATCTTTCTAGGGGAGAGGTTTTGATGTTAGAAAGAAGAATTGTTTTCCGATTCTCATTTTGCAGCATTTGGAAAAAGAATCTAGTGGACTTTGCATGTTGGATATAGAGTTCCAAATCCTCAAGCAAGAAACTCCTAAGTTTTTGGGTGTCAAATGGTTGCCTTTTCAACTTTGTTATGCTCCTAAAATCTAAAAAGAGTGATACAAACTAAGAAATGCTTGGATATATATGTTGGGTCAAGTCTTACATAGACATAGAGATGATAGATAGATCATAGAGCCACTCAAGGTTAAACCACTTGAAAAATGTAGATGTTATGGCTGGCAAAACTTTTGGATTGGATTGGAGTGTCTTATACTACACTCTAATTAGGATTTTAATTTGAATCATCTTTAATTAGACTTTTAATCTGAATCATTGATCAAGTAATCAATGAAAAATACGACATTCAACATGAATGAAGATAAAACATTCCCTACTTACGTGACACTTGATATGTACACTTGATATCATTGTATTGGAAACACAATCATAATATAGATCAAAATTGATAATGTCACGTTATAATTCAGACACCGAATTAACATAAGTTAACATTTCGGGAAGGATAAGAACATCCTTAAGAAGAAAAGTGTTACCAAGTCAACTTAGAGACAAAGAGCATGCTAATGCTGCACAACATAAAAAGCTAACAACACTCAAACAACCCAAATGGCATTAACAAAGCAACCACAAAAAGACAGTAGATTTGGAAAGAAATTTCAGTGCAAGATTGAGCCCCAAGTCAACCTACGTCTTTTATACGGCATTATATGAAATACTTGTATTGGTACAGTGTATAGAGCTATATACCCTACCATATAGTATAAACTATTAACCGTAGGTGGAGAATTTAACCCAAGTAAACAAAAACAAACCCCCACCCAACCCAACCCAACCCAACCCAACCCAACGTTTTCTTCTACACTACCATACAAACAAACACAAATTCCTCAATTCAACCCTTCCCTATACGCTCTCTCTCTAAAACCCACACACACTCTCTCTCTCTCTCTCTCTCTAAGAATTTCCACCCAAAATAACGGCATATTCTCTTCTCTTTCTCCCCATCTCTCTCTTTTGCTCCCGACTTTTCTTGGAAAATCCTTCAAACCAAACCCAAAAAACCCCTTCAAAATTATCAATTTTCCCGGGAACCAAACAGCACTTAGAGAAATTTTTGATTCAGATTAAGGGTTGTTTCACTTAATTTTTTTTTGAATTTTTTTCTTTTGTGGGTGTCTGGGGACTGATTCCAAAGAATGGTGGTGAAGATGATGAGGTGGCGTCCATGGCCTCCTCTGACCACGAAGAAGTACAAAGTGAGGCTTGTGGTGCGGAGGCTGGAGGGCTGGGATCTGGTGCGGGAGGCTGCAGGTGGAGCCGAGCCACTGGAGAAAGAGGACAAGTGGACGGCGGAGATTATGTGGAAGGGATCGAAGGTCAAGGTCGGGGCCTTGAGTTCTCTAAGGCGTGCCGTCGTCAAGAGGAACTTTACCAGAGAGGTTGAGGCTTCTTCCGAAAACGGCGTCATTCAGTGGGACGAGGAGTTTCACAGCGTTTGCTCTTTCTCGGCTTACAAGGACAATGTGTTTCACCCTTGGGAGATCGTCTTCACTGTCTTCAATGTAAGTTCCAACTTAGGTTCTCATATTTCTCCTTCGATCTCTTTTGGGTCCCAATCATGTGATAATGTTCTAAATAGTATGCAAAATTTAGTGGGTTCTTTACTCTTCTTCCTTCTTTCTTTCAGGAATTGATAATGAAATTTGGTATAAAGTTTTGATGGGATATGGAGGAATTTTGCTGTTTCTGTTCCTTTTTGGTTAAATTTCATATCCTTATGTGTGTTGTTTAAAAAAATAATAATTATATGTTATTTAGAGAATTTATTCTGAAAATAGCTTGAAAGTAGAGACCTAATTTTTGAACTTAAAATTAGATACTTATTGTATGTGCCTGCAACTCCTAATTTCCCTTTCAAAGCTGTTGTTGTCATTTGACTTCGTCTCCAGAGGATTTCTTTTAAATTTCTTTAAAATAAAATCTTCTCCCTGTATAATCAAGGGTTGGGTTGGATTTAGTGGAGTATTATTTTTTTTTTATGCGTTTAACAGGGTCAAATTTTGGCTGTTGGACTTTTTTGGAGGGTCATTGACTGGGGGCCTTTTCACACTGAGACTTAGAGACAGAGTTAACAATAGATTGGAGCGGTGTTGTTGAAAATCATATATTGATCGTCAAGGGGGTTTTTCAGCCCATAAGCTTTACAATCTATGAATAGTTGCTTTAATTACCCATTCCTCAAGGTCTTCGAATCACTGAAAGTTATTATCTGTCTTTGAATTCAACACCTCTATACTCAGAATTGCTTATTTTGTTATGGGTTTTATGCGATTTGGTGCTTGAAAGTAGATGTGTTTTGCAATACATATTTCCTTAGCATGAATGAAATATATGGAATTAGAGTGGTGTTCAAATTTCCGTTTCAATATCATTTAATATTTTCTCATAGTTCTTTTCGTTTTTTTTAAACTCTATACCATTTTCTAGAGAACTGAGGTGCAATTCTAATACAGGGTTTGAATCAAGGGCCCAAAAACAAGGCTCCTGTTGTTGGATCAGCATCAGTGAACCTTGCTGAATTTGTTTTGGAAGCTGAACAGAAGGAGCTTCAGTTAAACATCCCCCTCACATCATCTGGTGCTGCTGCTGAGCCATGCCCCTCACTTTGTGTACGTTCCTCCCCATTATTTTCAAGTTATTCTTCCATGTGTGCTATCCTTTCTTGGTAGAAATTAGCTTGATCCTGCTGTTTCTTAATTTGCTGAAGTTTTAGAATTTCTGATCTCAAGTTCTGATAAACTTTCAGATATCACTCAGCTTATTGGAACTGAGAACTGCTCAAGAAATCACAGAGCCTGTGCAAAGATCACTTGTGCCTGTTCCATCACCGCCTCAGTCAGCAGAGACTATCTCGACAGAAAAAGATGAGCTTTCTGCTCTTAAAGCTGGGCTTAGAAAAGTAAAGATTTTTACCGAGTATGTGTCTGCTAGAAAAGCAAAAAAGCCCTGTCGTGAGGAGGATGGCAGTGAGGGTAGGTGCTCTGCCAGGAGTGAGGATGGTGAGTATAACTATCCTTTTGACTCTGATTCACTTGATGATTTTGAGGAAGGTGAATCAGAAGAGGTCAAAGAGGATTCCACTGTTAGGAAGTCATTCAGTTATGGCACACTGGCTCATGCAAATTATGCTGGAGGATCAATTTACTCCAATATGAGAATCAATGGTGAAGGTGAGGATTGGGTTTACTACAGCAATCGTAAATCAGATGTGGGGTGCTCGCAGGCTGAGGATTCAACTGCATCAGTCTCTGAGCCGTCTGCAAGTTCAAAGCGAGGCTTACTATCATGGAGGAAGAGAAAGCTGAGCTTCATTCGCTCTCCTAAAGCCAAAGGAGAACCGTTGTTAAAGAAGGCCTATGGTGAAGAAGGTGGTGATGACATTGATTTTGATCGTCGGCAGCTTAGCTCCGATGAATCCCTATCTCTCGGGGTAAGAATTCATTACTAATTGTTCACTTTACCATGGTTTAAAAGATAAGATAGGTTGCATTGCCAAATTTTGACCATAACTGGTGGAAGCTTGCTTCCGAAATTTGTTTATCGACTCAGGTTTTGGTTTTTAATTTGAATCCTGGGTTATTGAAACTTCTGTCTTAAAAACCCTTGTGAAATTCTTGTGCCTAGATCTTAATTTGTCCTGGATATCAGAATTAATTAATGAAGTAGTTGAACTTAGACAGAACTTGGTCTTTCCTACCAACCTTGAATCTAAAGTTTTTGAACCTAACTAAAGTACGAGACATATGTTGCTTGGATGATTTTCATGATCTTATAAGCTTGTTTCCTTCCTAAATTTCTTTATAAATAAAGATTCTCAAGTCCTTATTACAAATAATGTCAAATTTTTTCACAGTGGAACAAGACGGAGGAGGATTCATCTGCTAATCGGTCGTCAGTGTCTGAATTTGGAGATGATAATTTTGCCATAGGTAGTTGGGAGAACAAGGAAGTGACAAACCGTGATGGACACATGAAGCTTCAAACTGAGATCTTTTTTGCTTCTATCGATCAGCGGAGTGAGCGAGCAGCAGGCGAGAGTGCATGCACAGCTCTTGTGGCAGTAATTGCCGATTGGTTTCAGAATAACCGAGAGCTCATGCCCATAAAGTCCCAGTTTGATAGTCTGATTCGAGAAGGCTCATTAGAATGGAGGAATCTTTGTGAAAATGAGACCTATAGGGAGCGATTTCCTGACAAGCACTTTGATCTTGAAACAGTCCTTCAAGCCAAAATACGTCCTCTTTCTGTAGTTTCGGGGAAATCCTTTATTGGGTTTTTCCATCCCGAGGTAGTGGAAGAGGGACGATTTGACTTTTTACATGGTGCAATGTCCTTTGATAACATTTGGGATGAGATTAGCCGTGCTGGATCAGAATGTGCTAGCAATGGTGAACCTCAAGTTTATATTGTCAGCTGGAATGACCATTTCTTCATCCTCAAGGTGGAAGCAGAAGCTTATTACATCATTGATACACTAGGGGAGAGGCTATATGAGGGATGCAACCAGGCATATATCTTAAAGTTTGACCGCAGCACGATAATTTACAAAATGCAAAATATTGCAGAATCATCTGATGACAAAACATCCAGTGATCAGCCAATTGTGGCAGGAGCAGGTGAATCCAAGAACCAGCAGGCCCAGCAAGCTGAGCAAGTCAATGAAAAGGAGGAAGGATCTACAGTAGAGGCAGAGATAACCAAGCTGGAGGAGCAGAAGGAGGAAGAGGAGGTTGTGTGTCGAGGGAAGGAGTCATGCAAAGAATATATAAAGAGCTTTTTGGCTGCAATTCCAATAAGGGAATTGCAGGCAGATATCAAGAAAGGGCTAATGGCATCCACACCTCTTCATCACCGGTTACAGATTGAATTCCACTACACCCAGTTCTTAAAACTGTTGCCTACTACTCCGGTCGCAGAAGTGACGGCAAATGCTTCACAAAGTCCCGAACTTTCCACAACAGAGGTTGCTGCATAAGAGAACGTAAATTGTAGGAAGTGTGATTACTCTAACTGTTTTGTTTTTTCCTTTGTTTTTTCCTGAGTGTTATTAATGGGAGCAGGGATTTAACCAATAGGAAAGTTGTCTTAAGCTTTTTGAGTGGCATGGGAGAGGTAAAGCTTGTATCCCTTTCTAATTTAGGCTGGAAATGAAAGTGTATGAATTAGGCTGGAAATGAAAGTGTGTTTCCACGGTTGGAGCTTTGTGTTTGTTAACCTAATTTTGTGGCATAGTCCTTAACTATGACCGTTAATTACATGACCCTGTACTTTCTCTTTCATCTGACTCAGCTCTGACTTCTTAACCAATGTCATCAAACTCTTTTTAACACATCTCAAAATCCCCTTTCTATGGCTTTTAACTTTTGCAGACTGGTGTAGTGAAAATCCAACTATTCTGTTCTGCAGCTACTTTGTGATTCCAATTTCCCATATTATTTCTGATAGCTTTATATCTACCTCTCACATTTGACAGATGGATTCCGGTTTTGTTAAAATATATTACATATAAAATTGATTTCAGATATTCCTTCTTCTCTTTTCGGTAAATCAGACATTCCATTCCCAAATTGGTGTATCACATTAGCTGTAAAGATGCATGGGGAAACTTTTTCCTGAGAGAAAAAGAAAAGAAACAAAAAGATGGATTATGCCTTTCAAGTTTGGTCTACGAGGACATGAAAAGATTCTTCAAAACATGCACGCTGTCTTGAAGGAAAAGTTGAAGCCTGGAAGTTTTCCACACCACTAGGGCACTACCTAAAAAACATAAACATTTAACTCTGCATGTGGCATGTGGTGTTTGTTGTGAGGGTTTTCTTTAGAATTTTAGCTCCTGTAGTGCACGTTCAGAATATACCAACCTCTAGGCTGTAGGTACAAGTTTCTGTCATGGTTTGGCTGAAATGCCATCTTATTTATTTTCTTTTTATCAACAGAAAGGGGATCCGAACATATGTTATCTAATCTGACACCCGGACATAACTAGGAATAATAATAGTAAACTCATGTTTGAATATGTGATCCAAATTGACGATGTGATAAAATTAAGGATCAGATAGCATACCTTAAGAACATTATTCTTTTTAAAAGGTTAAATGATTTTCTTCTATAACCAGTAGATCTGATTTTACAATTTTCTTTTCTTTGTGGCCCTAATTGATTTTCATAATCCTTATCTGGCCTAATCTCAAAATTGACTACCATAACGACCTTCATTATTTATTTCCAACTTCTTTTCAGGCACGATGTTCCTTTGCATATTTTTATCATTGTTAAATTTATTTATTTCGGTAATTACCTTATTATGGTAGTGATGGTTTAGGTTGAGTATTTTTTTTTTCATCTCATCAAATGGAATTTTTTTTTGCATAATGTAATGGAGGGTTACATCAATTCAAGCGGCTTTTGAGGGACTCAACAAAGCAAACAAATAGACCAAGACATTTGGCTTGTCAATGTAATTGTATTTGCAACACAAATCCAATCCAACAAAGCTTGAATGCAACAACTGAGAAAAAGTTAAAGAGCCATCAACATTATGGATAGGGTTGAATCATTTTTAAAATTTTCAATTCATTAAAGCAATTCTAGTCCGTACAGAAAAGCGAAAAAATAGGAGAAAAAAAAGAAGGATCTGCACATTAAAGTAGTAGATGTACAAAGCTTTTGATTTGTTTTTATCTAACCCAAAAAAAAAAAAAAAAAATAAAAGAAAAAGAAAGCTTTCAGTTTACTTCCAGTCACTGTCTTGAGCCAGCCTTAAAAGTTAAAACGACTTGACGTTGCAGCCTCTAAATATTGTGATGGATTTATGGGCTTCTAAGTGATTGGTGTCAAAGGATTGGGCTCGGCTTGTTAAGATTTTACAAGAATTCTATAGTAAGGGTCTTATATATGGCCCTTACATGATGCCCAATCTTTTAATCGTTAAATCAAGTGTGATTCAAGAGATAGGACCTCACTTAAGGTCTATATATAAGGCCCTCACTATAGAATGACCCCTGCTTTATTAATTGGGTAGCTTCCAAGCCAACGGGTCTAGCCCAATGGAAATGACCTTGACTTGCAGGTCTCTCAAGTTTGAACTTCTATGGCACTTTGACAGTGTGTGCGTGAAAAACCCCCTCCCCTAATATTGCTTGTATCAAAAAATTGGGTAGCTTCCGAACTTTCAAGTTTCAACAATCCGAAGCTAAACCATTTTCCAATCTACTAACTGGCACTTAGTTATCTCCACTTGATTAGCGCAGGTGTTTGGTTTTTGATTCAATGCATACGAATTTGGTACCGTATTTGATGTGAGTTCAATACTTACTTAAGGCAGAGTAGGTATCTAGTTTGATTCAATGCATACGAGTTCGGTACTGTATTTGATGCGAGTTTGATACGTACTTGCGGCTGAACCCATTATGAGGGGATTATCTCATTGTAAATACAACTTTGTAAACATAAATCATTTCCTATCTTCACCAAGTCTTAACTATGCCCTAGCCCATGAAAGCATTGCCAAGAGTGTTATGTGGTAGACATTCGTTCAAACAACAGTTCACATAATCAATGATCCATATTTGATACCATAGTTTAACATCACTTATATATATATATATATTCTTTTTGTGGGTACGAATAGATGAATTCATAGAAGCTAATGGTAGCAAAGAGAGCAAATCCCAACCAAGAAAGTAAAGACAACATAATTACACCTAACAACAACCTACTTGAACAGCAAAACAAAGGGAAGGAAACGAAACAAGGGCCCAAAGCAACCAAGAGCAGCACCCCTTGTAACAAGACCAGCAACCAAAAGAAACCATGTCATCATCAGACAAGGCAATCTCCACTCAGCAGCCACAACAAGGTTAGAAGAAATAAACTTGAAAGCTACAGAGCAAAGCCTACTTCTCATCGGTGGAGATGATACACCGAAGAGAACATTCAAATATGCGATACTAGACTGTTTGACAAGAGAACATTTCGCTTAATTAGAATATCAAGCCAGTACAAATACTAGCCAACTAACACAGGTTATTTGTAATCTAACAGTAAACTTCATAATCTTGAGTCCCAAGATGCAGTGGTAGGCTGGACTTGCTCTTATATTTTCTCTTCTTGCCCATCAAAATACAAAAGAAATTAAAACAAGGGAAAGATGCCTTGGCACTTTTAACATAAAGTTGTTGGCGTGAATGCTTCATTATCATGAGCCCCACACCATCCTTTAGTACCTAAACTTTTCCATATCAATGAGTGACTTTTATCTAAATTTTAGGAAGAGCCATGTGCATGGTCTTCGATTGCCCATCATTTCAAAACTTTCATCTGACCACAAGAAGTTTCATTAATCTACTTGCAACCTGAGGAGAAAATTAGCATAAACAAAGTCCTCTCACTTGGCCAAAAACCTCAAGAACTCATTCCACTTGCAGTTCTTTCGGCTTTGAAATCGAAATAAAAACAGAACAGTCAGGATTATAAACATAACAATTTAACATGGTTGTGGGACCGCAACAATACTACTAAGTACTCTACTATATATGTCAGAGATTCTTACAGCTGAAATTCTACAACATCAGATTGTTAGTTCTTCATATTTCAGACAAGCTAATGCATCACAAATACTAAGCATTTTACAATCCGAAACGTTATAACATCGAAACAGGAAAGCTAGTTAAGTTTTTCAGCAGCAGATGGAGCACTTAACCAAACCATTTTCATTGCACTCGGGACATCTAATGTGCAGCTCATCATTCTCATCAAGATCACCGTCTTTGAAGACTCTGCGGCTGCCATTGCAGTTGAAGCACACCACAAAACGCATGTTGGCACAGCCGGTGCATGGGGAGTTAGACAGGTCTATTGGGATTCCTTTTAGGAGCTTCTTCAGCTTCCCTTGCTCATGAAGTCCTATTACTTCATCAACTCCTCCAATGTATCTTCCCTTGATGAAAAGCCTTGGAGGGATCACTCTACCACCAAATGTCCTCCACAACTCTTCCCTGAATCCCATGTGCATCGAAACGTCCCTCTCATGCACCGATACTTTGAAGCTTTCCAGCAAAAACCGGATAGCCTTGCATGCCTCAAATGTTTTTCTGATACCTGTCAAGCTTGTTGAGTAGAGAATGACAGAATTGCCTCCTCCTGGCGGACACTTCTCCTCAAAATCTAATAAAGATGGGTTTTCCTCTTCATCATCCTTTGCTTCATGAAAAATTTCATGCTCCATATCGATGCAAGACAAGACCATATCCCCCGAGCTATCATTGGAAGGCACTGTCTCTTTGGACTTCATGGAGGGTGGTATAACAATATTCTCCTTGTGGCCAACATTGAAATCCAATTCCATATCTTCATCTTTGAGCTCTTCTTCATCTTCGTGAACTCGCAGAGACAGTGTTTGATGGTTGTGATTGAAGAACTTTTCTGTGGGGTTCAGCTGAAAGAGCAGGCCATTTGTGAAAGTGCCAATTGTTGGGATGGACTTCAATTTCTTGAGAAATTTTCCTCTCACTCCTTTCATCTCTTTGCTTTGTTTAGTTCATGGAAGGGCATGTGATCACATTCAGATAAAGAGTGGGGGAGAAAGGAAGAGTGTATTTGAGTGAAAATGACTGGTCAGGAGATTGGAGGTCCAAAGGAGGATGACATTTTCTCTTTTGGCTTCCAGTGGCTCTCCAAAGTGAAAACTGAGAAAAGTTGGGTATTGGACGCTTTTTAGTGTTTAGGTGGGGGCTGTTTCTTAGAGCTAATTGACCCATCACCAAATACCATTCATGATTTAAGTGGTATGATTGTAATTAACTCCATCTCATAATTACAAGATCAAATGACTGAAATGTCCCCTTATGACCACTGAAATGCGGTGGTCATGCTTTATTTTTATTTTTTTGGATACGTGCGATATCAGGAAATGAGAAATTGAACCTAAGACCTCAGGTGTATGAGTAAATGTTTCTAACCACTTGAGCCATAAATCCCTTACAATGTGGTTACGCTTTTCATATGTTAGAGGGACGAGTTAATTCCGGGGAGACAATGAGGTGTGATACAATCTCAAGTGAGCAAAAAGCAGAGCTTTTTCTTTTTTCCTCTTTCTATCAGCTGGGCTTTGGAACCCTCGATAACAACTAAAGCGACTGAAACTTTTTGTACCCGCAATCACCACCCAGCCATCACGGCCATCATGTTGCAAGATGAAGTCAAAACACAAAAGCTTCTACACTCGGCTCAAAACCCTCCAAAAATTGTGTTGTTATAGCAGCAAGCAGCAAGAATATCCTCAACCACAAGGTAGTTTGCTTGCATAAAGCATGCGTTAATTGTGGGTGCATCAAATCTTGGGCACTATGTCTTTCTATGCCGATTTTGTATGGGTAAGTTATAGCGTGGTGGTTCTATCATTTGATATCGGACAGGTAGTTGTTGGGGATGGGGTCTCTTGGGTTGGGATGCTACCTATATACCATATATAAAGCATAATCCATAGAGTCCACGCGGTTGGCAATGATGGGCCACCGTGACTGGCGGCTTGCATTCCAGTTCTTTTTTCGGGATTGAAAGAAGAGTGAAGATCCGAACTTGAGACCTGAGACATCTATTAATGTTTGGCGGGAAAAAAATACCACCAACGGGATCATTGATTCATGGTCATCAACTATATTTCATGTAGTGTATGGAACAGTTTCTTCTACCCACAAATTATATATATATACTAAAACTGAATCCACCAAATCACCGTTCCTAAACTGTTCCTCAGGAATAGTGAAATGACGGTTTTGCCCTTCACTAAACCTTTTCTTCCGGCCCCTTTTCGCCCCTTCCCCTTGGGATCTCTTCCGCTGCCAGTGTTTCGTTCGCTCAGAGAAGGCCTCCATTTCCAATCAATTTCGAACCAGCCCAACCAGCTGGTTGAGGGGCAGCGATGGAAGTGTAGTCTATAAGGGGCAGCGATGGAGGTGTAGTCTATAATCAATTCATGAATGGAAGCACAAATTTCTGTTTGAAGTAAGGCTTAGGCACTCTGGCGCTACACTTGAATCGGTGTGAGCCAGCACTATGGGCTAAAGATTGCACGTGCCTTGCACCTGCTTGTTATATGATTTACCAATTTTATTGTTCTTTACGGTTTTTCCTGGCCGAGCCAAAAATTTCTCGTCATCCTAGGATCACACTTTATAGCATGAAATATAACAATATCTCATATTTAAATTCCTGTTCAATAACTTCCAATAGTCTCAACGAGTAGATGGAATGACAATAATTTACACATCACAACGTACCAGCAAATTTGAAGTATAAGTATGGACCTGGATAATTCTTCTTACATGCTATATAATGTAGTTTCGATAGATATACCAAAAGACCAACATTTGATGCACTTAACTATCAGCCACGGATGAATCAGATGATGCAAACCCGATGTCAAAATCAAAGGCAATGCATGTCAGTTCATGTTTGTTTCCGTCGTACAACCTCATTTTGAGAGAGTATGAACCCTGCATGTCCCAAACTTGGTCAGAATAGAAGACGTAGCAGAAGAACACGAATATAAACATCACAAAAGAAAACTGCTGATAAGAGGGAGGACATAATGACAGTGGCAATTATAATGGGGATAGGGTAATTCCAAAAGCAATTTGAGATCGAATAGGAAACTAATCAAACACAACACAGCAGCAATTTGAATAATGATGCTGAATGACGTTAATCCAAATGCAGATTATTAGAGTATTCAAAAGTTGAAGTTTTACCACGAGCTAAACAAGAGGGATGATCCTAGTAATTTTTTAATCATATGAATGTCTAATATATGGAGCTTGAGATTCAATAGAATTCAAATCTCAAATTTCATATGCAACATTCTATTAACAGATCTACGATAAGTAAGCGAAACCTGAAAAAAAAACTTTGGTTGAAAGAGAAACCTGAATTTAATATGTCCAAATACAGACTGAAAATAGCAAATAGCAGCAAAAGGCAAAGCACTTGGTTTCAGAAAAAGCATACTTCTTAGACAATTTAAGAAGATGACTATTACATGCTACTAATTACAGACTAACTGCAAGCAATGAGTTCACCTACAGCTCATAGAATTGGTGCAAGGAAATTTTGTTTGTTGAAGAATATACCAATAAGTCTTTTAGCTTGGCTATAAAGAAGTAGGTGCAATGCTGGACATGCAGAGAAAGAGGGGAAAAGATATTGTAATGCTAGAAGCCTAGAAGAAGAACAAGATTTTTTATCACAGCAGTGATGATCAATAACCTTGCTTGGTTTTATTTCCTCTTCGCACTACACAGAATACGCACGAAGAAGAAGATTGGAAAACAGCAACACTTTTCAAACACGCATTCAATAAAGTGATCCATTGTGCACCATGGTTATGGACAGTGAAATTGCACTAAAGTGATTACTTAGAATAATGCATTCGGCTGTCTTCATTCACTTTCTAATGTGGCTATCTAATAGTTAATATAAACTATTACATTGTATTCACAAAATGTGGGCGGGATCACCTTAAATTTGTATTGGATTATTTGGAAACTAAAAATTAAACTCAGTGCCTTATTCAAGTTTGTAGAGACAACTCACTAGAAACACTGAAAAACTTAAACCATACAAGTTTATTAGGGAAGGACTTACAGGTGGAGTATATCCAGGCAAATCTTGCGAGTGAGCAATCACGAAATCACCAGTTGACACAGGGCAAGATGTTTCTGAGCAAAGGTCATGAGTCTCACTGTGGATGTGCCAACCAAAGTATGAAACCTCAATCACCAATTTCCCTCCAGAGATTGATTCACCTGTTAGCAGAACATATAGAACTCCAGTCAAAACTAAACTCCCCAAGCTCTTCGAATGATATTGGATTATCCGAGTGGTTTTTGTGTTTATCTAAAATTACATGAAAAAAAAAAGAGTCACTCAAAAAGTTAAATGTTGGACTGAAGTAGAACCTGTAGTTGCAGAAATGCTGAAGCTGGCAGGCTTGCCTCTTGCCACAGGGTAAGGAATTATCTCGACTGCCTTGACCTTGACATCATAGTCAGCCTTCTTATCTGAACACATTCCAAAAACCCGCTTAAGTTTCATTGAACCAAAAGCAGTGCAACAAGCAACAAAGAAACCATTTGTTTGAATACATGCATACATCCGATACCAAAATTTCCTAAAGAGAAACAACATTCAGATATTTTTTTTCTTGTCTTGGAAAATAAATACTTCGAAAATTGCAAAATTCAACTGACTACGCAATATCAAAGATTTCTTCATGTTGTGTTTGTGTCAAAATAAACAGAGCCCAAATCGCATTTGACTTCAAACAATCAGTTGAAATAAGGTAAAAAGTGGAAAAGTAATGATTTTCTCGGAAATCAAACAGATAATTAAAAGCTTAATCTGCAAGCAAAGTATCATACTTTAATAAATTTTATGAAAGGAAAAGAGCCAAGGATTAGAGAGACGAACCGCAGTAGTTAACATCTTTGGCTTGGGTGAGAGGTAGAACGAGACATAGAGATACAAGGAGGGAAGCGATGAGCTTGAACTGAGCCATATCTTCACGGATTGCTTTCCTCGATTCAAATATAAACAATATTATCCGAAAAAAACCTGTGAGAAATTTAGGGTTTATAAAAACCAGAAGACAGAGAGGCAAAGAGAGAAAGACAGGTTTTTTGTTCTGTGAGAGAAAGGAAGGAAGGTAGATGAGAAGAAGAAGTCTGAAGATGAGCGACGACTTATCGGTTGGAGACAGAGGAACGGTAGGTGGAACGAAGTAAAGACTTTTCTTATTTATGGGTTTCTCCGCTGGCACCGACTTATTTAAAAATTTCCATAATTTACTTTACTAATTTACTATTGACGTAAGTAAACAATAAAACAAAACAAATTTACCTTTATATAATGAGGCCCGGCCCTGGGATGTTTGTGGATAGTGTGTGCCAGTCCCATTGTAGTACATGGCCTTCAAAATCGTAAGAGCGGCCCAATATAAAATAGTTTCATTCAAAGTTTATTTTGGAGTGATTTTGAACAGGGCAACAATCACATCTATGAATAATCACCTAATATGCTCTTTTGTGACTGCTTCTCTAGAAATTACTTATGCTCATAAACACTTCTAGCAAAAGCCTTTTTTTAGTAAGCACTTGGAAGTGCTTCTAGAACCCACAACCCTTCTTACCTCAGCGTACCTTTGCACATAAAGCAAATCACCTCCAGGATTCGAATATGTCCACGACGTTCGAATTGTAGCCACACCAATAATTCGACGCCTCTTTCTCCATTCTCGGATTCGAACTTTCTTCTTGATCTTCTTCTTCGTAATGTTATGTGAAATTTTTTTGAATTGAATTGATGTTGGGTTAAAGGGGGCAACAACTTGGTGGCCTTGGAACGCATTCCAAAGATGAGCTAGTTTTCTCTTTTCAGAAATGCCCTTCACACAAACTAGTTGGATTAAGCAGTCAACATATGTGGTGGGCTTCGCAGTTGCGACATCATCATTAAACGTCTGACTAGATGATCAATCTAACAAACGGTGTGAATTGGTTAGATTCCTAAACATTGGGTATCAAATTGATAAAATTGAAACCTGAAGACCCATTTCAATATTGCACCTAAACTTCGAGGAACTAAAATGTCACTTGTCTGATTATAAGATATGTAATCATCCATCGGTTCAGCAACTAAAATTGTTTCTAAAAAAATTAAAACTTAATTAAGCGAATAAATAGTGTACATAATTTACCCAAATCACGGTAAATTTAAACATCATAGCTGGTATTGACTATGAAACTATGATCTAGAAAATAATAAAAGTTTGTTCTTTGTTTTGGTATTTGACAATGTGCAATTTCAAGTCTTCAATCTTGCTGGCGAACTGTTAACAATGTAAAGATTTGAAAGTAACTGCTTATCAATTGGTCATTAGGCGAGCTGAAAGTATTGGGCTTTGAAATTAGGAAATGTAATTTTAAGGCCTTATTCGTTTTGAGACTTCCAATGAAATCTCTTTGGTCTCAAGCCGCCGTTTCCTCCATCTTCTGAACCCAAGCTAAACCCTAGTCTTCCGACGACGACGACAACGACAGCGGTGATCTATCTTAAAGTGGTAAGCCCCAGTCGCTTACTCTCACACTCAAACATGTATATGTAGGAATTTTAATGCTCACCAAGATTCATTTCAGATTTTGGTTTTCACCTTTCAATTTATTTTCACGCCACTATCGTTCTCTCCTCTCGCTACGCCTCCTCCCTCCTCACTCTCTCTCTCTCTCTCTCTGGTTTCCCATCGGTATGAAAACTTCTGAAATTTCTGTAGTTTTGATGTTATTTCTTTGTTTTTGACCGTTTTAATGCGTTAATGTTTCCGATTTTGGGGTTTTGGACTGTTTGAATTTGATTCATGTCATTCATCTTTCTGTTTTTTCATCTGGGTTTTTTTTCTGGGTATGTTTGATAGTCCTGTTTTATTGAAAATTCAATGGATGAAGGAAATTATTATGGAAATGAAAAAACCCTTTGACACACACGCAGTAATTTGGACTGTGTTGTGTTGTGAGACTGCTGCTGCCATCTTTCCCGCAACTTAGCCTTATGATAAAAACATATCCATTTCTCTCGTATTGTGAGCTTGGTATTCTCATGTTGATGTATGGTTATATGAAGTATGGTTTTGTTTCAAGTTGTTTCTCATTGCATTGGTGGTTGTAGTATTGTTTCCTTTATTCCTAAGTGTAGGCTACACATATCGAATAGTGTGGATGTAAAATGTTTATGAGTTATTTTTATTTTTATTTTTTTCATAACCTATATATAGTTGCTTTGGAGCAGAGGTTATGATAAATAGGCCTGAATTTGTGTGAGATCCATAAAATTGTTAATTCTTCTGTTTCCAGAATGCTTATTGGGTGGGTGTTTTCAGCAGCATTTACTTAAATGGAAGCCAAATTTTTTCGCTTTCTTAAGATTGTGGGTGTGGGCTACAAAGCCAGGGCTGAAGCTGAAGGACGCCTGTTGTTTCTGAAATTGGGTTACAGTCATGAGGTTGAGTTGACCGTTCCTCCTGCTGTTCGTGTTTTCTGCTTCAAGAACAATGTCGTTTGCTGCACTGGAATTGATAAAGATAGGGTGCACCAGTTTGCTGCTTCCGTGCGTAGTTGTAAGCCACCTGAAGTTTACAAAGGCAAGGGTATAATGTACGTTGATGAAGTTATAAAGAAGAAGCAAGGAAAGAAGTCTAAGTGATTGGATGTCTCAAAGCGTATCCATGGCTGGAAGTTGGTAATCTTTCTTTTTGCATTCTGGTTGTAATCAGAAAATAACAGTAGTCTGGGGTTTTCTTTCAAACTATTGTCTTTTTAATATAGGTTTCTTAGTTGATCCCTTATCCTCATTTAGGTTTCGTAGTCTGTACTTTTGGGGCTTTCCTGAATGGACCATGGAGTTCAGGTTTCTCCTACTTCGAAACCATAGTGGAGATGAAGTTAACCTCAGAACACATTGAATTTTAGATGCTAAACTGAAGGATTAACTGATGATTATTCTTGGACAGGACTAGCCTATGATTTAAGAATCATGGCCTAAAAATTGCATGTCTATGCTGTAATTGTCGCTCAACTGGTAAGGAATGAAGTGGGTGAAGGTCTAAATTTTATTATTTCTACTGAGGGGCAATAATAATTGTTGTAAGGTGTACATGTACACGTTCTGAAAATATTGAAGTTACAATTTCTGTTATAAATTTGCATCACATCTCTGATCATTTGTCGAACAGTGACTCATTGACTAAATATGAGTCCGTTGTGTACAAAGACACACCACATGTCCTTATTTAAATGGAAATTTGCTTGAAACTCTGGTGGTTCCATGTAGGTAGAATCAATACTTGGATAATTGTTTGAGTACTATTTTGTATATTTGGAAGTTGATGAATATAGACTTCGTATGAATCAAAAATATTTGAAAATTTGTTTTGGCCATTTTCGGTCCTATTATGTTTATTTGGGGTTTTATATCCTCATTTGTTCCTGGGAATTGGGTGATTTGCTTCTAAGATCGAAAACGATGTCGTTTTCGATTTTGGAGATGTGAGATGAAGATGGTTGATTAAATTTAATGGTATATGGAAGATGGTTTCACTCTCTCTCGTTCTTTTTTTCTTACTTGGAGTAGCTTGATGGTGCTAGAGGGAAGAAAGCTATTTCATGGTTATCATTTTTTCAACTGGAAAATAATTGGGACTACAGGAACTTTTTCCTTTTGATAAGAATCTATGTGGTTAATTATTCATTTCTTTTGTTATGTAAGTTGACTGATTCTTTTGTTGATTCTGCTGGTGTGGATATATCGGATGGTGATGCTTGATTTCCTTTTGATAGTTTGTATCTGGTTTTCAAACAAAATGGGTGATTTTGGATTCTGGGTATTTTGGTCTTTAAGTTTTCATTGAAAATGGTAATTGTGTTTCATGTGTTTTGGTTTTGGGTGATAGTCTGGTAGAGTTTGTATACTATGGTGAAAATTGAAGAATCTGAACAATAATTAGGTATGGGTTTGGCTCCGTTAACTAAAAAAAAGTTTAATCCACTAACATATCTAAGCAGTGACTGAGATTAGAATTTTTTAAACTAATTCTTAATACAAATCCTTATTTGGGAAGGTTCCATGAAGTATTTTGTATTACTTTTTGATGCTTGAGCATTTTGTTTGTGTTCAAATTCGAAGGATGACATCCAATTTATAAAACAATAAAAATTAAAGATTCAATGAATAAAAGTTCAGATTTTTTTTTAACTTCCCTGTTTGTGATCAATGAGCTATACACATGAGATGTTGTTTCTTATTTCATTACCCTTTTGAACCCCATTGTTTCTCATTGCCTAACCCTTTTCGTCCCCAATTTTTCTCAAGGGAAATTCTTGGTTCCGCACATGTAAGGACGCATTCCACTTTACAAGCAACTGACAATCTGACATGCGCACATAAGCTTTTATTGACGAGTCAATTGTGTATGTGTTAGATTGTGATTGTGATTTAAGGGTGAATCACTTTTACCAGTAAGCATTAAGGCTTCAGTTATAAACCCTTATAAGGAAATCCTTTTTTTGAGCAAGCTGGTTTTGATTTTGAACTTGGATTTTTTTTTTTTCTTTTTCAAAAATTGGATAAATTCAAGAAAATTAATAGCTAAAATTTCTTAACTCATTTAAATCACATGACCAGGGGTTTTGGGCAGAGGAGATCGACGGCACAACTATGTTCAATTGGCTTTGCATAAGATCAAACCCAAACTGAACACTACATAGGATCCTGATTACATTGGACGAAAGCTAAACTGGTTCGATAAGTTCGACTATGCAAAAGCTTTAGGCTCTCTTTAAGGTTCTGCTTTCTAAAGCTTGTGCAAGACTATGACATGTCCTCCAAGAAAATACGTTTCTCTTTTGATTTTCCATTGGACTAAATCTCAAGCAAGGTAAGATGCAAAATAAATAGACTTAACAGAGTAAACAGACAGAACCAAAGAAAACATCCCTTGTTAAATACACATATTCTTTTAAAAAAATATATATACCTTTATCTTTTTTAAAGAAAAAGAAAAGGATAAACTCCTACTTGTGGTTGAGTTCAAGAATCTTTGTTGTCATAAGCAGCAATCAAAGCGACTTCTTTAAACTCCAATATTCTTTCTCTTTTGGGCTAGCGTGTGTGTGAGCTTCTTTGTAGAAGAACGACTTGAACAAAATTATTATAAAAATTCAAAATCCCATTACCTATAAAAGCAAGAAAGCATCAGGGATATTTTATTGAGAGAGTGAGCTTCCTTCCTTTCTGTCTGTCTCTCTTTCTTGTTGCTATAACAGCTACTTCTACATTTCTCTCTCTTCACATCCATTGATTTGCTTATCCGTGCAGAATTCTCAGTTCATCATTTCCTCTTTTCTTTTTTTTAAATTTATATTTTATACGAACAATACTGTGGAGGGTGGATTCTAACACATGATCTCGGTGACAAGGATAACTGCTGTTAACCACTTGAGCTACAAGTCTTTTGCAATTCCCAGTTCATCCTTAATTTAGGTAACGTACGGAAAACTCTACACGTACATATTTCATTTGTTTTTAATTTTGTGATTGGTTAATGAACGACCTGACCAATTTATTAGAGATAGAAAGTGAGATGGCTGAGCAGCAAATTCAACATTTCAGTCACAAGCATCCATTGATATTCAAGAAGGAGCAGAACGACAGTCGCTTGGTTTTTTGCTCAGCGTGCGAGGACCCAGTGCTTGGCTCAAGCTACACTTGCAACCAATGCAGCCCTGCCTTCATTCTCCATAAATCTTGTGCAGATGAACTAACTCCTGAGATACACAACCCGATCCACCCCAAACACCCACTTAGTCTCCTCCCACCCAAAGATGACAACTTCTGTAATGACTGTGACCAACCGTGCAGGGGCTTCATCTATGATTGTCTTGAATGTGATTTCGGAATAGACCTCAGATGCGCTTCAAAGTGGAAAAACTACTGTCATGACCACAAATTCACCGTCCTGAAGAACCGTACTATTAAATTCAATTGTGATGTCTGTGGCAAAGATGGCACCGTCGACTTATACCTCTGTGGCATCTGCCAGCTCATGGTGCATAAGGAATGCTCTTGGCTACCACGCCATATCCAAATAGGAGACCACAATCACAGACTCAAGCTCACCTGGCGCTTTGAAGCCATTTACTCCAAAAAGCAAAGTTTCTGCTCCCTTTGCTCTAGACCCATGGACCAAAGCCGCGCTGTTTATTATTGTCATGAATGTGGCATATATGTTGCCCACAATACATGCGCCATAAAAAATGCTCAAATCACTGACGCCACCAAGGAAACCACTCCCGACGACGACCCCCAACATAAGAACAACCAAACAAAATCAGAACCAGCTGCGCAGATCAGCCATTTTAGTCATCAACATCGCTTAACCCTCATCACTGATCATCATGAGGTAGATAAAGATAATGATCACCTTGATGATAGAATAAATACTTGTAATGGTTGCATGCGGCCCATCACTACTACAGATGCCTTTTATAGCTGTGCAGGACAAGAAGAGTCGTCATGTCATTTCTTTCTCCACTTAATTTGTGCCCAATTCGATCCAAAGAGGCATTTTTCACTTCACAGGCACGAGCTCACACTCCTTCCGAGGGCTCCTTCTATTGATGGCGTGTTTAGGTGTTACATTTGCAATACTTTTAGCCAAGGCTTCGGATACTACTGTGATAATAAGGACTGTGACGTCTACTTTATCAAGGAGGAAGGCTTCTACCTTGACCTTCACTGCAGTATTCTTTGGGAATATAATAAGTCTCTTAAACATGAGGCACATCCTCATCATGACCTCCACTTCAACATAAAACAGGGTAGAATTTATAATAAATGCAAGGGTTGTGGTGCTTCTTCTGAATGCATTGGTTGGTTCAGTTGTAATGTTTTTGCATGCAACTTCAACCTTTGTATTCCATGTATTAAATTACCTCCCACAGCCCGGCACAGATACGACGATCACCGTCTCAAGCTCACCTATAGTGTTACAGACATGCTAGCTGAACATTATTGTGATATATGCGAAGGACCACGAAATCCGAAACATTGGTTCTACTCCTGCTCAGATTGCGACTTTCATTGCCATCCTCATTGCATTCTAGGGAGGTATCCGCAAGTCAAGTTAGGGGGAGCTTATAAGCACGACACTCACCCACACCCTGTTACTCTTGTTGATAAGGAAAGGAGTGTCATTCCTTCTGATAAAAGGGAGCACATTCTTGATTGTCAAGAATGTGGGGAACCATGTGAAGGGTTGGTCTGGGAATGTTCCGAGTGTAATGCCAATATCCACCGAAAAGGTTACTGTATATCCACTAAAGAAGACAAAAGTGTCTCTCAGAGAGAGATGGCTGAGCAGCAAATTCTATATGACGAGCATTTATTGATGTTCAAGGAAGAGTAGAGGAAGGATGGTCCCTTGGTTTTTTGCTTAGCGTGTGAGGACCCAGTGCTTGGCCCAAGCTACACTTGCAAACAATGTCTATTTGAATCTATTTTATGTTTGTTTGGTGTGTACACTATCTCGGCCATCTCTCTGTCTTAAGTTTGACTCAGGTAAGAAGTACATGCATGTAACTAATGGTGGTCTCACATGAACGATTCTACACACTTGCAACACAAAAACCTCTGATCTCGTTTCTCATAATAATTATGGAAAATTGGTAAAAGAGGTATTGAGGACATTTTCGCTAACTCTTTAATAAAAGGGAGAAGGTGAATTTGACCCAAAAAAAAAGAAAAAAAAGGAACGCATGGGAGCTGCAAAAATGTCCTCTACGACCAAAAATCAAACGAAACGACTAAGTTTCTTGGAAACCGGTGTGGTGTTTGCCAAAGAGGTTCCATTGCCCAAGTTAGACTTTGAGAAATACAGGAATTCAAGTTATGTGGCTTCAACTCATGTAACTCAAATAGTTGAAGGCTTTTTGGATATATCATATATGTGTCTTGTCTTATTATAAACTGTCAATTATTATGAATATATAATCTATTTATGGTAAATTTCGAAATAACTAATGTTAGAAAAGAAATACATGCTAACAGGTTTCGCAAGTTAACTTCGAATGTCATTTGAGGCTATTAATTGGATTCAAACGACTCTAATGTTTTGTTAGGTGAAGTTAATGTCTCTAGTTTGATTCTACATGATTTCAAGTTAATTGGACTGATAAAGAAATTGTGATAATTTTTCAAGTGAACCTCGTTGATGGAAACATGTTTGGCAGATTTGTAGTTGATTTTGCGGACTATATTAATTATACTAGAAAAAAAATGTTAAACATGGATATCTTCTTGTATGCACAATCTTGATCACCACCTCTTCGCCTCAAGCCATCAGCATATCAACTAATGAATTCCAAGTCACTGGTGAATGCCAAAAGTATGGTTAGCAACTAGACAAAGACTAAACAAAAGCTTTGGGCTGCGACATGTCTCCTAAAATTTCAGTTATATATTGCATAAGAATATAGGGTCATTTACTCAAATGGTCCTCAAATTTATACTCGATTTACATTTTGGTCCTTAAACTAAATTATTCGTTCAAATGGTCCATCAACTCTATATTATTCGGTCCCTTGGTCCTACCGTTACATTCTATCAATATGAGGGCAAATTGATCATTTCGTACGTTATAAATAAAGGCTTATTATCACAAAACGTCCCTAAGGGTTACAAAACTATCAGATTGCATCCTTAATGTTTTTTTGTGTCATTTGTGGTCCTCAAGGTTAATATGTGTGATCACAAATGGTCTATGCCTTTAGGTTTCGTCAAAAACTGCGTTAGTTTGTTGACGTGGCATATATATATATATCACAAAACATCCTTGAGATTCACACATTTATCACAAATGGTCCCTGTGAAATTTTTTAATTTTTTAATTTAAAATTCATAAAATTTTGGTTTTCTTTTTTAAATCTTATGAATTTTAAATTATTT